TTTCAGTGATTGTCCACGATTCATGACCGTAGGTAAGTATGGGGATAAAGATCGACTTGAATATTGAGAGTTTAGTCTTCAGACTGAGCTCTGCTTTCGTCACAAAGTCTTCTTTTTTCGGGTCGGGCTAGTTCACGCAGAGCGTCACTGGCTACTCCAATTCGCCGGTCGGTCTCTTTCTCGCTAATAATTATAAAATTTCAGTTCATCATTTCGGATAATTTGGATGTACTGTTCTCTTGCTTGTAGTCGTCTATGGAGAACATGTGTACATGCCACGGCTCCATCAAGTGTTAGCACCTGTGGTATATTGAATATATCAGCGCATCACTGGGCAGACAAAGGCGCATTCGAGCACTTGAATCTGTCTCCATCTGTAGGTAAATATATAAACAAACCATATCCTGATGTTCTGGAGAATGGTAGCATATGGTCGTTTTTCAAAAGCGAAAAGGGCAATTGTCCTACGGTTTGGTTAGGGATATCTGTTGCACGAAAACTTTAGATCTTAGTACAAAGAACCGTGCTGAAATGCAGGATGAACACAATTTAATTAGGCACGTCACACATAACACGTTAGCTGGTAATCGTCTAATTCATGTCACGATGGCTGAAAGTGTTGCCTGAATCTACTGAATATACAGAAACAGTGGCAGCGTACTTAAAATGCTCTGTTTGCCCATAAATTGCAGACTTATCGATTCACTGTCCTTGTAACTTCATCACTGATGCGCAGAATGAATGAGAACCAGTTTCTTATAGCACTCAAATTTACAACTTTTGACATATTGCTTAGAAAACTCTATTACATATCTGCCAATACCAGTATCGAGTATCAATTTATAATATACTATCATTCTAACATATAACGGTTCGTTCCGGTTTATGAATTCTTTGAAGTTCCTTAACAAACATGTATCCGTTCGAAATCAGACTCTCCTCATTACTGTTCTCTGAGTTAGCAGATGACTCATTCACTCATGCAATCGTTTGTTCGTTTATTCCTTCATTCAATTCATAATTTGTTCAAACGTTCGCTTATTCATTCGTTCCCTCCTTCGCTAACTCGTTCATGCACACACTAATAATTCCATATACTCATGCGTACCATCATTCACTCATCTGAGCGTTAGTTCCTTTTACGTTCGTTTATTGGTTCTTTCATGAGGTCTTGAATTTCAGAGTTCCAGTTTCATAGATCATAGCTTAATACGCTTTTTCATACCTTAATTCGTCCAATCCGCCATTCATTTGTCTGTTTGTTAATTCATTCATTCCATCATTCTGTCGTCGTTCATTCACTCCTTCATACGCTGATGAATTCGTTCATTCTGTATCTACAGTCATGCGTCCGGTTTAAACTTGATGACACGTGACCATCGTGAGATTCATAAGACGTGGCACATAGTTATCGTTTCTTGCTATCAAACAGAAAATAGGTTTTCCAGTGGAAAGTTAAAGTTTCTCCACTTCTCTTCAAAAAGATGAAGATGAAATGTGCAAAGTCGTTTAGAAGCTTGTATTGAATTGACACCAACGTTACTTCAACAAAGTAAACTTAGATGAACCTCGTTTCTAGCCATGAGGCTTAATCGGTTTAGGTCCATTTTGACATAATAAAGGATTCGTGTATGCCAGTGTTTACGTTTTTTGTTTCTGCACTTTTTCCTTGTGTTCAAAAGCAAGATTTCGAACAAATCCGAGCTGCGATCAAATCATTCAGTCATTCAACGCAACACTGCTTGGAAGCATCTGTTTTCATTAACGCCCTCGTCAAATTCGCTTTGAGTCAATGACTCGTTTCACAGCATACCTTAGCGATCTTCAGGAACTTTGACCTCATGCCGCATAACTGTCCCCTATAAATTAGCTGCCAAATTATCCAGTGCATAGTTGTAAAAGGGGTCATTAATTTCCACTTCATTACGCTTACTTCAACATTCCAACAAAGCAACAATGTCATAGTTTACCAGGCTTGTCATTGGTGCTCAAATACCCATGTTTAATTGTGACATGCTTTGAATTCTTTTCTAATTTGATGCTGTTTATGATTTACATACTTATCTTATGGTCCTGCGCAGAAGCACATTGAAACCCTTCGGTTTACACTACACAAAAAAAGCTCTTGATGTCGTGTGCATGCTGTCATGCGAACTAAAGTACCGTCTAACGTTCAGACATCATACATCTGTGCTATTCTGCCATTGAAGCTACGCTGTCTTCAGAAGGCGATGACAAAACAATAACAACAGTGCATACGCAGTCACATAGGCAAAACAGTACAAAAATGTTTTATGCGCTACTAATGATCCTAATATTTTTGGGCGACTGCAAAAATAAGTTTTCTTAAAGCCAGCTAGAACAAATAACCTTTTCCTTGATATTTAACCTTGTGTGCCAGAACCACCATTGCTCGGCTAAGTTGAATTGCTATTCGAATGCATGTCCATTCTACCCAACCCTGAGAATCGGCAAAGCATCCGTACAATGGAGCTGAAAAAGCCACCCAGGCACCTAAGTAAGTTTTTATAAATTATGAAGCAGTATGATGACGCAATCGGCCATAGCGTTCTGCTTATTGAGGCCTCTTTTTGCTACCGTTTCTAAAAAGATTATTCCTCTTTGATCATGCGTCAAGTCAACTGTTTGCAGTGTGTCTAATTAAACTTTGTTTACTTTTGACTCGCCCATTGCACAACTAAAATACTAAATCTTGTTTTAAAAAAAGTGTAAAAATGCCAAATGAAACTCTTTCCGATGATTCCATCTGTCCGAAGGATATTCCATTGCTGGTGCAAGTCGAAATGCCAGCTCACAGTCTTAACTGAATCCATGAGGCTTGCCAAGGGGGGGGGCGGACATGTGACAACCGTGGATACGGTAGGCAGATTCTCGACGTCACCTCAGCTTGATTCGTCCACAACGCTGAAGTGGGCAGACGACTTTGCTTTGCCGCTTTGTGCGAAAACGTTTTATCGTTGTGGGAAGAGCAAGTCGCTTCGAACGAACACGAAACGCATGCGCTGTCCAGCGAATAAGAGTCAGAGCGCTAGGCGTTCAAGTTTGCAGGTTATTTGAAAACGAGGCGCACGAACTCGCCAGGCCGTCGCTGCCTAGCTGCCACGTCGTGTCATACCTGGTCCCTCCATAAGTTGGACTCAGGGCTGGCCTGGCCTCGTAGTCTGTGTGTTGTTGACTTTGAGTTCATGGAACTCACTGACGAGTCAGCCATGCCGATGACGCCATTATGTTCTGCTGTGGAAGCGTTTCTCCTCTACCTGCACTTCTAAATTCGTTGAACTTCAACTAGAATTAAGTTGAACTTGCTGACCGATCCAAGGCAGTTGGCAGAAAAAATGCAACTTCCAACAGGTGCACGCCTGTTGCTACGTTGACAATGGCAACACAACGTGATCGTAGCAAAACCAGACCACTTGTAACTACTAACTCAATTTGCATTGTTGCATGCTCAACGTTTAGACGACGTCGACTGCGCTGTGAGGAACTCGAAATACGTGCCGAAACCAGATCACACCGGGGCTTGTTATTGGAAACCCGCTGGATTCGTTACGTTTTTGTCTTAGCTAAGAAACGAGACCGCCAACCGAAAGTAAACACCTGTCAGTAAGAGAGGACGAGGAGGAATTTAGGTCGGTTGACTTTCAACGAGAAGATTAAACGTCGACAGCGCTTGTGGGCTGCTTTTTCTCAGCGGTTCCTCAGCTTCCTTAAATTCGGAGGAAGATCTCAGGCGGTTGGGAATCGAGTCACTCTTTCTGACGATTGACGAAACTAGCACGTGATCATAGTTGCTAGTTGGTGAGTGAGAAACAGAGAGGGTGAAGGCGGGCGTGCGGTCTACCAGCAGGACGGTCTTAACTACCCGTTTTAAAGAGCCAGGTGGGAAACTAATTTCTGAGTTAACGAAAACGCAGAGTGGAACGGAAACGAGGGCAAACCTCCTGAACGAACCAACATGACCGGTTGGGTGGTCGATCGGTCAGAGAGGCACGACGACAACGATGATGACAATTAAAAAAATAGACTTACGTGAGTGTCCTCTGTTTTGACTCTGATCTGATTGGTCGGTCTGATGCGTGTGGTCGGCTTTGGTCGCTAAAGCTCATCCAAAGCTGGCGGGATGTAGCATAACTGAGAATCGAATCCGCTCAGCTATGCCAACATCTTGCCTACTGTGGAGCCGCATGTGGCGCGGTGTACGTCGCGCGTTTCCGCATATGCAGAAGCATCGTCATCTGCCCCGGGTACGGATTTTACGGATTTCGGACACCGAGGCGCCGGCCGCGTCTCCTGCCACCGTCACACACCAAGGCATGGCGGCTTGCTGGGATCTGGACAGTGGTAACGCTCGCGGTGCCGTCGTCGCCAACCGGACCGGCTTGAAATTTCAGCCAGTAATCAATCAGTCTCGATCCCGGTTTATGTTAGTTTAGTCCTTTCGGATTTCGTTTGCATTCTACGCAAAGACAAATATTTGCCGTAGCGCCGGTAAGACAAAATGAGTTTCAGTCAATAACGGAGTTAACTAGTAGCGGACTGGCCGATGGCGACAGACGCCGATACAAAAGAACACGCATCAGGTCGGATGTGTACCTCTAATTCCTCG